TGTTGTCAGCGGAACACGGTAGTCGAGAAGGTCCCTGCGGTAGTTCTTTCGACTTCTCCTTCCTTGTGCTGCTTCCAAAAGTTTCGATTGCCTGTACTTTTGAAGATCTTCTTGCAAAGTTGTTCTGCAACTGGTGTTGGCTACCGGTCGCTCGTGTGATGCAGTCGGATCCAGCCCCTGTGCTCCCCTCTTCTCCAGTAGATCCTTGGTGGTTTTCGCAATCTGTTCCAAATTCCTTGTTCGTGAGGCACTTTCACCATAGGCCCTCTGCTTTAGCAAGCTTTAATGTTGTAAAGCTTTCACAGTTCAGGCGCCGCCTTGCTCAACTTTCAAGACGCAAAAAGATCAATACATATGCGTTTTCAGATGTAAAGCCCTCCTCATCGAATACCTCCGTGAAACAATCGCCATCATCCACCTCAATAAAACCCGCCGCCTCCATAAAACAGTCCGTGTCGTCGACATCCGTTGCATCACCAGCAAGTCTCTCAAATGGAACGACAGGAAAGGGGGTTGTTGATAAGGAATTGGTTGGTTGTTTGTATCCCTTATCAAATTGAAGGTTCATCAAAACGATGTTTCAGGTTGAAAAGGAAAAGGAACGAGCTGATCGGGCAATGGCACAAACACGAAAACTGTTGAATTTCTTTGTGAAACAAGTATGATTTTCCTCCTACCCCCTCCTGCCATCGCAATCAACTTGTGAGATTGACCAAATTTCGTTCTTTGAGGGTGTCTCATTTGCTGAGCGTTTCCGGCGAATGAATGATGAAGAGTTATTGGAGCAAGATATGGAGCAATTTGGTAGGAACACATGGGAAGAGCATGTTCTAAAGGTCGGGATTGCCCTATCAGGGATCTAGAATCTCAACAGCATGAGTTTACAGGTTATTCGGGAACGGGATGAGTTGCGACTGTTGAGGCGGAGCGATAAGGAACAGATGAGAAAGCTATGTGAGGACGAGTTCCGGTCTGAATTGACTATCATCTTAAAATGGGCAATGGTAAGAGCACAGGTTCCACTTTTCCTTTCATAAGAATATGATGAAGTTCAATCAGATAAGTGGTGATAATCAAAAGTAATAGCTTCATTGCAATGTGTTATT